GCTTCATTTGGTTTGTTTTTTTTTTTAATTTTTGTGAGAGAAAAAATATAATGATTACAGTCTGAATATGATATTTTGTCTTATTGACTTATGTAACTAATTTTTTTTTTTGGTACTATTTTAACCAAAAATTTAAAACCAAACGAAGCTTCAAATAAGATTTAATTGTGTACAAACAAAATTCATAAGATTTTTCAGTACATACGTTTATGAATTGTGATTTCCGAAAAATTTTCCCTTCAAAAAATGATGTTTCACCTGCTCCGTTTGAGTGAACTCCAAAATTCGAATACATCAGTGGTGGGTGGATGAACTAACCTTTTGGGGTACGTAAATGAATCCACCTCGTCTCCTATTCAATTGGTTGAAAGGTACTGCTTTTATACTTATGGATTCACTTATTATTAATTCAAAACTTGATTTGATTATTAAAAAAAATAGATAACAAGTATAATTTTAAAAAAATATACTTCATCCATCTCAAAATATCGAAAAATGGTTGAGAGCACTATAAGTGATGCTATTAGAGCACCGCTAATGATGTGGTAGTGGACGCCCATTGTCTATGCCTTGTTTTTGGTTTTTTTTTTTTGACATTCTCAATGCATTAGTGTTATTAGTGGTCATTTTTTTAGTGACATTAATCATTGTTGCAAAATATCAGTCTCTTTTGAAAAATTTAATTTTTTTTGATAGTACAATTATTATATTTCAAAAGTATTAAATTCTCAAAACTACCCTTGACTTTTTATTGGGAACATTAATTGTCATAATTAATGAATTTAAAATAAAGACAAAGTAAGAAATTCAAGTTATTTTTGTTTTTGATTTTTGAAAATGGATTAATATTTTGAGATAATAAAAAATGAAATAAGGGACTAATATTTTGAAATGGAGGGAGTATATATATTTTTTTCATACAATTTAAGTCAATTGTGTCAGTTATCTTGATGACCAATTAATTTAATCTTTTAGATGAATAATTTGCTTGATGAGTATAACAAGTTAAACCATTCGAATTATCAAGATGAGTCCACAATAATAAAATTGGACCCTATAATCTAATTTTTAGATGGAAGGCAAATTAAGTTCTACATAAAATTTTTAGAGGCCAAATGAAGGCACGTGATCATTTCCTATGTTCTTTTGTCTTAACGCATTTGAATTATTGGATTATATATTGAGATTCATGTCTCTAAATTCTTACATAATTCAACGATTTATCAAATAAATCAAATAATCCAATTATTGCAAATGCATTAGGATATGAAAACAAAAAATATAAGACAAAATATCCCCCTTTTTTTTTCTTTTTTCTTTTCTGAGACAAAATAGCCATCTTGTTTAAGACAAAATAGCCTTCTTGTTTTTTAGCTTTTAATTTTTTTCCGTACAAAGCTAAAAATTGGCATAAAAAATTTATAAAAATACTAAACTGAAACAAACGCACACTTAACATGGTGCCTAACAGAATGAGCTGTTCGGGCAGACAACTCCATTTCAAAATTGTTAAAATTTGCGGAGCTTTCGTTTTGAAACAACTTCTTGTATGTATCAACAAATTACAAAGGGTCTTGAATACAAATGTGTATATATTTTTACCGACACAAGTTTGTCTCCAGTTGGTAAATCTAATTGGATGTACTGCTGCTGTTGTTGTTGTTTTTTTTTTTTTTTTTTTTTTTTTTTTTTTTTACAGCAAATAAAAATTTTATTGATGAAAAATCATTAAAATAAGAGTATATTACATCAATAAAGAAAAAGAAGAGATGAGTGCAAATGCATCATAGTGAGACAAAACGATCTCAATTAGATTGGCACTGGAAACCATGCTCAATTGGATGTACTGTGAGATTTATGTGGACTTATTTTCGAACTGTTCATATTTACAATTGCTCAATCAATTTATTTTTTTCATGAATGATCTGCTTAAAGAATTTTACAAAATAAATAATTTAAATTATCGATATAGATTCTATAGAGAGCTCACAAAAGCCCAACAACAAATTCTCACTACAATTTTAAGGATACTTTCATCTATTTTTTAAATTCTATTTAGATTATGTTTCTTTGTGAAACGAGTTTATATTATTCTCACATAATTATCCTTCTCCTACAAAAATATATATAATAATTTGTTGAGACAAAAATTCATGCCTTTAAGATTATAAACCCACACGGTGCCTTCTCTTTCTATCATTTATTTCGTTTCAAAACACATCCCTATCAAATAATAGAATTTTAGTTGATCAGTGTGGCGGAATTTTTAGAAGACCTACCAACTTGACTTTAATCAAAAAATATAAGATTTGCACCACCATATAATGGTTGTGAATGAAAATTTTGCATTGCTTTTACATAGACAAGTCAGTTGTATTTTAAAAATAGGGTAAATTACACTTACACCCCTGAGGTTTGAATTTAATACATATCACTCTCCGACGTTTAGAAAATTACACAAACCCTCCTGTCATTGTAATTATTTAGACGGAATGAAAATGTTGAACTCATGCACTCCCTCTTTTCATGCTTTACTTTATTTCCTCGGTTTTTTTTTCCCCTTTTCCTTTGATTACTTTTTTTTTCAATGTAATTTTCTATATTTTTCTACTAAAAGTTGTTGCCTTTTATATAAATAAAAAGGTTTCTGAAATGAGACTATTAAGCATAGGGGTGGGAACATAATTTCCAGAACGTCAAGGGGGTGGAATGTAATTCGACCAAACCTCAGGGGGTCAATGTAATTTACCCTAAATAATAATAATAATAATAATTAACGAGATTGCATTAAAAGTCCCTTTGAGGATAAGATCAGATAAAATTGTAATTAGATAGGAATAAGCTCATTTAATATTTTCTGATACTTATTATATGCATGATTATAAATTTTGTATTATATAATTTTTTTTTTTTAATATGTAACCAGCTCTCATGGGATGGGAGATTCTATTATACATCACTCTTATTTTTTTTGAATTTACGTATATCTTCTAATAAGTGAATTAATTATCTAATAATTTTTATAATAATTAATGATATTTTTTATCAAATATTATTAAAAAACGGCACTAATTCTTAATTTTCAGCGATAGTTTAAAAAATTTATTACAAAAAATGTCTCTAATTATAAATTTTAGCGATAATTTAAAAAAATCGTCACAAAAAGCCACTAATTTTTAATTTTTAGCAATAATTTGAAAATTTCATTATAGAAAAATGTCACTAATGGTAAATTTCAATGACAATTTATAAAATCGTGACAAAAAAATTAGGGCAAGACACCAATAAATCCCAAATTTTAATTTATTAAACCATTTGGTCCTACCTTTTATTTTGTAGACTAATAAGTCCTATTTGAATGTTAAAAGCTCATTATAGGATTTTTTTAGATTTCCCTCCTTTCCGAATATCAGCAACATTAACTACACCAACAACATCATTAATATCAACTATATCATCAAACATCATCAACATCACCAATATCATAAAACATCATCAAACATCAACTACATCATCAAACATCATCAAACACCAATTACATCATCAAACATCACCAACATCATAAAACATCATCAACATCATCAAACATCAACTACAACGTCACCAACATCACCAACATTGTGAACATCATCAAACATCAACTATATTTTCAACCTCATCAAATATCATCAACATCACCAACATCACCAACATCATAAAATATCATCAAACATCAACTATATCATCATACGTCATCAATATCACCAACATTGTGAACATTATCAAACATCAACTACATCTTCAAGCTCATCAAACATCATCATACACTAATATGGGATACAATATGTTGATGTTTATACAATATAACAAACAAATATACCATACCAAATATAAAATATACCAAACAAAGATACCATACTAAATATAAAAAAGACTAAATGATTTACAAAAAAACACTCAGGACTAGATAGAGTAACATTTCCCAATATGAGATTTATGAGTAATTTTTCCAAAAAATTACTAATTGCCAATATTTAACGACATGCAAAAAAATCTTTAAAAAAAAATTATTTTTAACGACGATTTTTCTTCGACTTATTTTTAATGGGATTTAATGAGAATTAAATCAAACTATTAGGATCTATTTCATAGTTTATCATTTCTTTTTCAATTTATTTAATTTTAACAAAAAATAATTATTTAAATATTAATATGAGACAAAGATTGCATAAAAGAGTAATTTTCCACAAGTACCCTATGGGTGTGTTTGTTTAGACGGACTGGATAAGGGAGGATTGCAATCCATCGGACTATTAGTTCTGGGATACATTGTCCCGGACTATTTGGTTGGACTAAATTTTTATCCTATGTTTGTTTAGTCATGGGATTAGATGTCTGGATTGAACTATTTTTAGTGAATCTAATGTTTGGTTAGACGGACTGTAGGACTGTATAAGAATAAATGTTCAAAAGACTATTTTACCATTGTAATTTATAATTTTTATTTAATATGTAATTTTAAATTTTAAATTTATAATTTATAATTTAACAACACTAATTTTTTTTTATTTATAAGGTCATAATTTTTAATTTATTATTTTTAATTAAATTAAATTTATAATTTATAATTTATAATTTTTATTTAATATATAATTTTAAATTAACAACACTAAAAAAAAATCTATAAATGCTCAAAAGATTATTTTATCATTTTCTAATTGTTTATTAAGTAATAGTATAAGGATAAAATAGATATTTCACACATTAGTCCCATAAAATACTAATTCTGTAGAATTAATCTCGCCCTCCCCCTAAGATATAACAATCCCTTTTACGAGGGATTAATAATCCGGAACAACTATTAATCTAAAAAAAAAATTGAACCATAATGAAATAGTCGAATCCCATTAAATAAACACTCAAATCCGGATCATTTTGACCGATTCAGGATAATTGTTGCATAGAAATTTCATGCACTCATCGAGACCGATACAGTGAGATTAAAAAATAGTATATAAGCCTCGAAGCCCATGGAAAGACAAGGTACAAACAAACTATCAGTCTTCCAATTTGTTATTCTTCTACCTGACTCCATCCCCTGAGAAGCGTCGTTGAGGTCTCCCCCACTCTCTCTCGCTAACACACACGCACACATTTTCTCTCTCATCACTTCGGAAAATGAATTGATTTAGCAGAGGCAATAGCGATCGGATTCAATAAATTTTGCGTTCATTTGTATCAGTATTACAGTGTTAAAGGTACAAGATCTCCGATAAATTTCTCATTTGTTAATCTTATTTGCGATTTTTTTTTTAAAAAAAATGTTTTTTTCTAAAAATTCTCTCTATGTATTCGCTGTGTATAATTACGTACATATATGCATATTCTTTTTGGTTTCAACTTTGTTTTGATCCTTCGTTGTAGAATTTTTCAGTAGATACATGTGATGTGATTACTGGAATAGCTCTAATAAAACTCTGTTATCCGAATTGGATGCAACGGAACATAATTACATACAGGGGCGGGCTTCCCTCCGCTCCGATCACGGACTGGAGTGTACTGTTGGGCTCCTGGAGTGTACTGTTGGGCTCATGGGGCATCACGGATCCCGTTTCGTGAACCGTTTGTAAAACTCGTCGAGTACTATATACTTGTAAAAAATTATGTTGATTGGATATCAATAGCTATATCATTGGTTCAGTTTTTTTGTCAACTATTTATTTTTTCGCCGTCTATTTTTTTATACAAAACTGATTTGATCACGTAGTTATTGATATCTGATCAACGTAATTTCGTAAATTACGAACATGTAGTACTCGATGAGTTTTACACATTTGACGGTTCAAATTATCGGAACGGGATCCGTGGTGGCCCCCATGGGCCCAACAGTACCTTTTGGTCAGACTGGAGGGAAGCCCATCCCTTATATATATATTATTTATTTTGAATAGTGTGAGACTGTTTGGTGCAGTTGCTTAGGAATAAATAAATAAATAAGCTGAAAAAAAAATTGATTATTGAGAATTTGAGAAGGGGTGAGTCTAGATTGCTTTTAAATATCAGTTTTCAACTTGCAATAAGCTGTACCGAACAGGTCCATTGAAATGTTTTCTGTTGATAGGAATTGCTAATTTTTTTTCATGTGTGCCTAGCTTGTTGGAAAAAGAAGAGTATATTCACATAAGAAAATAATGTACACTGAGAAATATATATTACACATTCTATTGAAAATGCAAGTTGAACATGTGTACATATGTATCTAACTGATTTAAATGTTCAGTTTATGGTTTGGAATATTGTTTATTGTGATTATTTCTTTTGTTTGTTTGGTCAATATTGTTCACAAATTATATGCAACTTGAGGAACAAATATGTTCATTCTTCCGTCATTTTTAAAATAAGTGAACTGCTGTTGACTGTAGTGTTAAATATAGTTTTGAATTTTTTAGAGATTAGTGGATCATTTGAAGCTGCTTTTTATAAAAAAATTGTGTGTACTTGGATTGTTTATCTGATTTTGGTAAGAAATCATATATGAGGAACAATTTTGTGATTTGTGGAGGGAAAGGAAGAAAAAATGGAGTGAAAGAAGCTAAATTTATTTACATATTGGTTGGGTTAGGACAATGAGAAAAAATTAATAGGTATTTGTCAAAACAATTCATTGTTTTGTTTGATTGTCCATAAAACATGACTATGTATAAGTAATTTCATTTTCCCTGAGATATACAAGATCTAAACATAGCATAAAGGGAAAGGCTAAATCCACAACCCTCTCGCAGATTACGACCAATATGTGTTAAACACTTGTCATAGAGTGTCCTATATATATTTTAAATTTATTTTAAACTGGAGATGCTTCAAACACACCCAAGACACAATTGTCTATAACTTGGGACACACACAAGCTATATATTGGGTCTTGGCACAAGTATTAAAAAATTATAATGGGGATAAATGGAAAAAAAGAAAAAAAGAAAAAGAAAATAGTATGGTTTTGTACATATTAATCCCTAATTTGAGCTCTTTATATATAAAAAGTACAATAGTTTAGTCTCCATTAATGGAGCTCTTTAATTTCTAACACCCTAAAACATTCAACTTTCAATTTATTTGTGATTGTAAATGTTGGGGAATTATGAAAGTAAGACATTAGGATTTTTCAATCCCCGTTTGTTGCAAACTTGAAACGGCTAGTTGCAAGTTACATGTCCCATATAAGAAGTGTTACAAGACACTGACATTTCTTTTATTTATATGTGTACTGTTGAAATGGATATTTGACATAATTTTTCTCTTTGATGAAGGAAAATAAGAGCTCATTGGTGGAGCAGTGATGGAGATCTTTTCGGCTTGGAAACTCACTTTCCAGAAACCATGTGCTATCATGTGGTTTTGGATTTTGCTGCTACTCTTGCTACAAAATAGCAGAGGGATACTCTCTGCTTCAAATTACTTGGTTGGGCTTGGAAGCTATGACATTACAGGACCTGCAGCTGATGTCAATATGATGGGATATGCTAACTCTGACCAGACTGCATCAGGTGTTCACTTCAGGTTGCGAGCACGGGCATTTATTGTGGCAGAGCCACAAGGTAACCGTGTAGTATTTGTAAACCTTGATGCTTGCATGGCTTCTCAACTTGTGACAATTAAAGTGCTTGAGAGGTTGAAAACAAGGTAGTTATTGCTTGATTAAGGCATACCTACTGTATAGTCAATCATACTATAGATTGTAGAAGAACAGTGTTTTCATGCGTCCATTGTCAAAAATCTTTTATTGCTTGCAATATTCCTAGCAATTTAGTATCAAGGACCTTTAAATTGAATGAATTTGGGTATTTTATTTCCATAACATGTGGTATGATTTTGTCAGAATTTTCTCTATTTTTTTATCTACTAACTGGAATAATATGATGTTACTTTTGCAGATATGGGAACCTATATACTGAAAACAATGTTGCTATTAGTGGTATTCACACCCACGCTGGGCCTGGGGGTTATCTACAATATGTTGTGTACATCGTAACATCTCTTGGGTTTGTGCGCCAGTCATTTGATGTTATTGTTAATGGCATTGAGGAAAGCATCATACAAGCTCATGAAAATCTCCGGCCGGGATCAATTATGGTGAATAAAGGTAACGAAATGGACGCTTTGCTCTCACTAATTTGTTAGCTGCATGTTAACATCACCAAGTATTTCTTCATGTCTGAGGTCAAAGCATATGATCAGGACATGTAGAGTATTTGCAAATTCATGTATAATGAAATGATCAAGAAGTAAAAGGCTGCCTGGTTTTTGTTTTTGCTTAAGGGAATTTAATCATCTTGATGATCAGAATGAATTTCAATAACTTATACTATGTGTGTGCGTGTGTCTCTCTCTCTTCCTCTATATTATTTGCATTTTATGGAAGTTCTCTTTTAGGAGTTTTGAGTTTCGGCTTTTCCAGATATTCCTCACACCAAAATGACTGGGGATTTATGCCTTGGCATATGGACCCCATTATACAGTAGAAATTTTTACAGTGAAAATGATAAGATAGTCTCAAAACGCCCCAAAAGGTTTGACCATGCATTCTATGTTTCAAATTGTGATTATGTGTGTGTGTGTTTGGTATTGCCTTGTGTAGAGGAATGCGCTAGATACATTAGTCAGAAATTATGGCCTAAATAACTTTTTTGAGGAGCTCATGAAAGGAAATTAATTCTTTTAAACTTTTGTCCCTTTCCCCTTTTCAACTAAAATATCTTTTGATTTGAATCCTTTTCAAACCTTTACATTAAGGACTCACTTGGTGGTGTTGTGGGGATTTGATGCCGTTGGTTGGTCCACATGATTTCCACAAATTCCTTGCTACCGTTTAATTGCAGTTCAGGATTTTTCTGAACAATAATGCTTTGCCTCCCTAACTATAGCATAAGATGGCAAAATCATCTTAATATATGAATAATTTGTTCTTAATGTGGCATCCAATATGAAGGTAGGTCAAGATATAATACATTGGTGTTATCATGCTGTGGGTTATATTGCAGTAGTGTTTTTATGATCTTGAAGTTGGTGTTACATCATATATTTTTCAATTTTAATTGTTACTTATCATAATTTTTGGGCTTTCCTTTGGCAGGAGAACTTCAAGATGCTGGTGTAAACCGCAGCCCTAGTGCTTATCTAAATAATCCTGCAGCAGAACGTAGTAAATACAAGTTTAATGTTGACAAGGAAATGACCCTTCTAAAGTTTGTGGATGATGAATGGGGCCCAGTTGGTAGCTTTAATTGGTTTGCAACTCATGGAACTTCTATGAGTCGCACAAACTCGTTGATAAGTGGGGACAACAAAGGAGCTGCTGCACGATTTATGGAAGACTGGTTTAATAAGAATGCCAGTGAAATTTTATATTCTGAAAACTCTGAAGCCGATGAAATCTCTCTAAGAGTCCCAAACATAATTCCTGTTGCTCCCAAAAATCGTAAGTTACTAGCTCTTTCCTGCTTAGTATGGTTACATTAATATCAGAAAATCAAAAAATGATTGAAATTGTGGATGATTATGGGTTGCATGTATGTGTCATCACCTGTTTCTGATAGGTGCATCTGGTCATGTAATTTATTAACAAATGTATGATTCTTATCAGACCAAACTGTGTATTTTCTTTACAGTTAACCCTATTATAATTAATATCATATAACTTAGTAATCTATATTAATTAATATTTTTTTGAGAAAATCCTTTTAAAACATTAATTATTGTAGTAGATAATACGACATGAATATAGGAATGTATATTGGTAATATTAATTTATTTGTAATAAACAACGGGATGAGTTTTGTGGCAACAAGGTTTTATATAATTGATGTTTTTCAAGAAAGGAGTTCATTGCCTTCAAAAGTATGCATGTATGTCTTGTTTTTATATGAAAATTGCATAACTATTATGAGCAAATTTTTTTCTTTAATCATAGAAAATCATAGGGAATCCTAATTTTTGATCATTCTATTATTTAATAAATTTCAATGCTCCCAGGATTATTAATTTTAGAGGCTCTACTGTAATCGTTTGTCAATATCATGCAAGTATAATGATTTACCATGAGGACTAGCACTTTAACCTTGCAATGTGATGACAAAGACAAATTATTGCGAAAATGCCAACAGAGCTAGAAAGAGCAATGTAGAAGGATGATCTGGACTGGATTTTATACCTCATTTCCTTTGTGTTTGAGATGGCACAGGTAGCAAATAGAGATAAATTTGGAGCATCCAATCAATGAAGTAATTGCAAGAACCAACATGTTATCATCTGTTAAATGAGAAGAAAGGAAATAGCTTCCTCTACTTGATTTAAAATACTTGAGATTTTTTAATGCAGACCATGAGTTGCTGGAGCTTGCTGCCTCTTTCCAATCGCCTTCTGGTAAACGAGCGACCAAGTTTCTGAGTATTGCTAGACGTGTCAGAAGTGCTCTCAGGCAGGCTGATAAGCCTGGATTTGTATCTGCATTTTGTCAGTCAAACTGTGGTGATGTTAGTCCAAATGTGCTTGGTGCATTCTGCAATGATACTGGGCTACCTTGTGATTTTAACCACAGCACTTGTGGTGGAAAGAATGAGTTGTGCTATGGCCGAGGACCAGGGTATGGGATGCCTAGCATGCTGTAATTTGCTGAGGCTTACTTTACATAATATTAAACTATTCTCTTAAATTGCAGTTACCCAGATGAATTCGAGAGTACACGTATAATTGGAGATAGGCAACTCCAAAAAGCTATACATCTTTTCAACACAGCATCTGAACAGCTGAAAGGGAAGGTTGACTATCGTCACACTTACGTGGACTTCTCCAAGCTTGAGGTGACACTTCCTAAACAGGGAGGAGGTAGTGAAGTGGTTAAAACATGCCCTGCTGCTATGGGTTTTGCGTTTGCAGCGGGTACAACTGATGGACCTGGAGCTTTTGATTTTAAGCAAGGAGATGATAAGGTAGCAAGGAATTTCAGTACTCAACTTTCCCCCATAATTGTAGGTTCTCATGTGGTGTAACACCTGCCTGTTTATATGTGGTTATAATGTTTGTTAATTCTGCTACAGGGAAATCCTTTTTGGAAGTTGGTTCGCAACTTAATTAAAACACCAGGCAAGGAGCAAAAAAATTGTCAATATCCAAAGCCTATTTTGCTTGACACTGGTGAAATGCAGTTGCCATATGCTTGGGCGGTGAGTTACAATATAGTTAATTTTTTTATACTGTTTTATGATAGCTAAGGCTTCAACAAGACAACTATATTTATAGTTTTGCCACTTCAACTTTAAAATAATGCTATTAACAAGGGTTCTTAAATGTGTGCCCTGGGATTTGGATGTTTATGCATTCAGCCATTTTTAGATAAAATCTAGAGATTTCTGATGGTGAGTGTTGAGCTAATAAATATCCCTGTCAAACTATCCAATTTTTAATTTTTAATGCAAGTAACTTTCTAGCTGTCTTAATAAAAAAGATTTGGCACAATTTCTTATTTCATTTTCCAATATTGCTATGGAAAGACACTTCACCACTGGGCATGATTTTCCAATAGGCCTCTATTTTGATGCATACTGTGTGCATGATTTAAAGACACTTCACCACTGGGCAGAATAAAGCTGACTAATACACCCACAATGTGGTGCACACGCCAAAAAAGAAAAAAGAAAAAAAACACATTGTTGGGGGCTTCCTAGAGAATAGGAACAGCTGAAAGATTATAATTATTTGATATAATTAACTCTTCTTCTGAAATCTAAACACTGTTATATCACATTGATCTACTTTGCTCGATTCTTGGCAAATGTGGTCAAATTGCAGTCTACCCTCTATGTGTAATCATGTATATCTTGTGCTACTACTAAAGAAGCAGAGACAATACCCCTGAGCTCTCCCCTCCCACAAACCAACACAACATCCCATGTGGTGCCCAAGTACATATGCTGTGCATTTTTCATACATACTGTGAAACATGTTGTGCTGATGCTTGTCGTCATCAGTCTACTAATTACTGTGTACAGCATATGGATGGTTTTATATACTGATACATTTGGTTTGTCTAATTTTCTGCAGCCTTCGGTACTCCCAATTCAAATCCTCCGGATAGGGCAGCTAGTCATTCTCACTGTACCTGGAGGTGTGTATGCAGCTTGCCTTATTTTTCCTCCCCTTTTCCATTGAGGTTGATAGATGTTTAAGATACTCATATTTTAGAAGGTTCTGCAAAAAATAAAAATAAAAATTCTCAATTCAATGTTCTTTTAAGTTGATTAACATGAGGAAGATATAAATGTTTTCTCACTGAATGTTGGCTCCGGAACATGCCTAGATGGTGCAGGTTTTCAACCAATAAGGTGATTAGTGGCATTGTGTCTGATTGCCAGGTTCAAATTGGGCCGCCTCGGATATGGCTGAGGGCAGCCTGCTAACATGGACAAGAAGTCGAGTTTTGATTTGCTAGGGGAGCTAAAGGCATTTCATGTTTGACATGTTTTCTATGGCTCACAAGATTTCTTTCTTTTTGTTTTTGACAGAATTCACTACAATGGCTGGAAGACGTCTTCGAGATGCTGTGAGGACAGTGCTCATTAGTGGAGGTGGAGAATTCAATGGCAATGTTCATGTTGTGATAGCTGGGTTGACTAACACATATTCACAATATGTGACTACCATTGAGGAGTATGAAGTCCAAAGATATGAGGTCAGTAAATAGACAACATTCTCAATATTGGGGGTTATTATCTGTTCATGTACAACCACCCCCACCACCACTTGAAAAAAAATAAATAAATAAATAAAAGGCTTATTTATTTAGAATTTGATTAACGTATGCACTTAGGCCGCATGTTAAGAAGCTTAAAACGATTATAAATTCTGCTGGAAAGTACGTGCAATCAATAATGTAGAATCTTTCAAGTTTTTCTAAATTATGTCTTAAAAGCACATGTTAACAAGACCCTTACTTTTATGTTACTTTTGATGACTGTTATCGTACACACCTACTTTTATGTTCCATTTGGTGACTATTATCATACATACCTATCTTTCATACTTCTCAGGGTGCCTCCACGCTATTTGGTCCCCACACTCTTAGTGCATACATTCAGGAGTTCCAGAAGCTTGCGACAGCTCTAGTCAATGGTCAATCCATTGAATCGGGCCCACAACCCCCTGATCTGCTGAACAAGCAAATTAGCTTACTAACTCCAGTTGTCATGGATTCGACCCCTCCCGGTGTGAAATTTGGGGATGTCAGCTCTGATGTCCCTCAAAACTCCACCTTCAAGAGAGGTGACATGGTGACAGTTGTTTTCTGGTCAGGTTGCCCCAGAAATGACCTCATGACGGAAGGGACATTTGCTCTGGTGGAGACTCTCCATGGAAAAGACTCTTGGGTTCCAGCTTACGATGATGATGATTTCTGCCTCCGGTTCAAGTGGGCCAGACCAGCTAAACTCAGCCCACAAAGTCAAGCAACTATAGAATGGAGAATCCCAGAGTACGCTGCTCTGGGAGTGTACAGAATAAGGCATTTTGGTGCATCCAAGGGTCTTATGAGCTCAATTCACCATTTTACAGGTTCATCTAGTGCATTTGTTGTTGCATAAGAAAGATTTTGATATTTCTCCGTATTCTGAGCCATTTCCATGTAAGTTATAGACAGTTCCATAGTTGGGAGTATTTATAATGAATGGTTTACTTTTCTTTTCCCACTTTAGTTTTGGATTTTTTTTTTTTCTTGAGTAGGTAAGTCATAAATTGAACCAAAAAAATAAATATTACAATGACGTTCATACCACGCCTAACGGCAACACACCCTACAAAAGGGAAAACACACCTAGCTGCTACACACAATAGATTAAAATTAAAGTCCGGAGCTAGGCTACCACAATATAACACATCGGACAAGTTAATAGTAAATAATTTCAGTCCAATACATCAAAACCCTTGCAACAACAAATTTATCTTCCCCATGAGAGGTCGTAAAGCAGCAAAAGGCACTGTAGCAGCAAGGACTTTGAAACACAGCAACACACGCATGAGCTGGGCCGCACGCTACACACAAAGGGAGCGTGAAAACCATGCAAGAGCGACCCACCTTCATCATCCTCAACGCACGGCACCGGAAGAGCAAAAGCCATACCAGCACCAGAAGACACGACACAAGCTTCATCCTCACCTCATGCCGGTCGGCAAAGATACAGATTGGCGGCCAAACTCCGGCGCAACAGCTCAGCAGCAGCTCAACACAGCTTTCGGAGCTCCGGTAAAATGCATCGTTGTCTTCTTCTCTAGCACAACTCCGACAACACACAACCAAAAAGATTCCTCTCCTTGCACGAAAAAGCCATAAACAGAGCAATAGGAATACCGAAAATTTGATCTGAGAGGTTGGAATCAGAATAACCACCCACTTTCCATCTCGTCCAAGCACCACACTAAACTATGGTGTTGTCACGCATGACACACTACTTTAGATAGTCTCAACACCATAGATCAGGAAAAATTATGAAGGTAGAGGTGGGATTACTGACTCTTCCTAGCAAACAAATCTCTAGGAACTCTACACTCTTAATCAGCCATGAAGATCCAAGAGAGGGGATCACAAGAAAACAAAACCCTAAAAGATATATCTAAATTCATATGGGTAAACACAAAATCAATTCCTCCCAACAGATGATCAATGAAGTATGATGGAGGACTAATGGATTCTCTAAGAAAATGGAGAGAACCCGGAGGAGGACCAATGGTTACCCCGAGGGGAGTTTCTCTCTCTAGATTCTAGAGAGAGAGGCTCTACTTTCTTTCCCTCTTAGTTTTGGATTTGCGTAAATAGTTGACAAGTTTGCTGTTGGCCATGAACCTAAATGTGCTAACTTCTACCTAGATATGATTTTCTGATCAGCACGACATTCTCTATTTTTTACTCAATACATTCTCAATCATTAAATAATGATTTGAGATTAACGTATTTGAGATTTACACATGTTGGTGAAAATACCAGAAAAAAATATATTTTATTGATAAATAATGCAAAGAAAATGAGATACAAATAGATCAGACTAAGGCACAGATATCTCGTTTTCTTTAAGGAGATCAAGCTCACTGCGGTAGGAAGAACCCAAATACCGATGCAGCAGTCACAAAACTATGACTTGTCCCCTCCAGGATACAACAGCCCGACCACTTGTCGTATGGTTCAGGCCAACTCTACACAAGATGGTGAACCCAAAACTTCACTAAGAAAAACATTCTTCTTTGCTAGTAATCTCTCTTATATAGAAAATAGTTGATGTATTGGTATAAAAAAGAGTAGAAGAGAATAACTATTTATAGGCCACTAAGACATTACAAAATACATCAAAAAACAATAATGACCATGAACTTAGAGAAAAGGGAGAGTGTACCCAAATATGAATTCACCAACAAGTTCATGAATTCTAATTAAACTCCATTCATGAACAAGACAAAAGGACACCAAACAATGAATCTCCATTCATGAACAAGATGAGATTCATGAATAAGATAAAAAAAGATTCACGAACAATATAAATAAATAAATAAATAAAAGATATTAAAATGGTCCAACAATCCCCCACTCATTTTAATATCAACTAGGATAAGAGAGATTACCAAAAAAAGATAGATTAGTATACATCATGAAGGTGTGCTCTGCATTGAACCTTCATTAGTGAAACAACAACCTCTACCCCAGAGTCAGTAGTGGTCTTAAACTTGAATTATGATTGCTTAGGGAAAATAAAGTATTACTGCTCACACATAATAATCCAGGTGTTGACATGAGCTTTTAATAGCCAGCACATTACGGCCTTGTGCTTATTCCAGTTTTCATGAGCATTTTTAAAAATAAGCCTTGTTCTCATAGAAAGTGGCCCCACTTTCATGCTCATATAGATGAAATCTGTCAAGGATGTTCTTGTAATTTACACAGCTCACTCAACAAGAGCTATAGAATTTCATTAAGAGTATAAAAACTCAACCCTCCAACATTACAGGACAAATGCACTTACATCATAGGGATGGATAACAAAATATTAAAGAGTGCATTTTTACAATCACCATATGATTCGTTCTTCCCATTGAACCTAGTTACAGGATCTCTGGTCCCTGGGTTAGGTATCCTTATACATGGTTTATGATTTTATAGGTTTCAAGCCCATCCCACTTAATGTATTCCAGACCCTATCTCTCGCCAAGGCCTTAGTTAACGGATCCGCAAGATTATCACAAGATCTTACATAATTCACAGTTATGATGCCATTACTCAAATAGGATCTCACATTACTGTGTTTCCTTCGAATAAGTCTGGATTTACCATTATAAAAATGGTTGTTCACTCTACCAATAGCAGCAGTGCTATCACAACGAATTAACACAGGAGGAATTGATTTTTCCCAAAAAGGGATTTCATGTAACAAATCTCTTAACCAATTCGCTTCCTCACATACTGAAGCTAACGCTATAAGCTCAGCTTCCATTGTAGAATTAGCAATTATAGTTTGTTTTTTAGACTTCCAACATATAGCACCACCACCCAAGGTAAAAATAAAACCCGAGGTAGAGAGGGAATCACCTGACAAAGTGTTCCAATCGGCATCACTATATCCCTCAAGTACCGCAAGATACTTGTTATAAAACAAACTATAATTTTTGGTACCAGATAAATATCTCATAATTCTTCCCATGGCTACCCAATGATCTCGACTAGGCTTGCTAGTAAACCTGCTAAGTACTCCAATAGCATATGCAATGTCAGGTCTAGTACAACCAGTAGCATATCTCAAACTACCAATTATGCTAGCATATTCTTTTTGATTAATCACCTCTTTTTCATTTGTTACAACAGATAAATGTATGCTTGCATCAAAAGAAGTAGCAACATGTTTACAGTCTAGAAAATTATATTTCTTTAAAATTTTCTCAACATAATGCGACTAATCAAGAAAAATGACATCATTAGTCTTGGTAATTTTAATTCCCAAAATAAAATTGGCTTCGCCAAGATCTTTCATATCAAAGTGGCTATTGAGCATATTTTTAGTCTCATTTATAATATGCAAATTAGAGCAAAAAATAAGTAGATCATCTACATATAGACTAATAATCACATGTACATTCTCACAAGTTTTATAATATATGCACTTATCACATTCATTAGTCTTATAGTCATTCTCAAGCATGCATGAATCAAATTTCTCATGCTACTGTTTAGGAGCTTGTTTTAAACCATAAAGAGATTTAGTTAGCTTACACACCTTGTTTTCTTGGCCAGGCTCCACAACGCCTTCGGGTTGGTCCATGTAAATCTCATCATCTAGATCTCTATTTAAAAATGATGCCTTCACATCCATTTGATGAATTTTTAAATCACGAATTGCAGCAATTGCTATAAACAGTCTAATGGATGTAATTTTAGTAATCGGAGAAAAAATCTCAAAGAAATCAAGATCAACTCGTTGCTTAAAACCTTTAGCAACAAGCCTCGCTTTATATTTATTTATAGTTCCATCCGATTTAAATTTTTTACGAATGACCTATTTACACTCAATAGTTTTACAACCTGGAGGTAAATCCACTAGCTTCCATATTTTATTTGAAAGTAGTGAATCTATCTTATCATTTACAGTCTCTTTCCAGAAAATAGCATCAGGTGATGATAAAGCTTCTTCCACCGTAAGAGAAATTTCTTCCACATTGTAAAGATAATAGTCAGAGCCAAAATCTTTTTCAACTCTAGCTCGTTTACTTCTTCTTAGTTGGATTTGAAAATTTTCTTGTTCTTGAAAAACTTGAGAAGGACTAGAAAAGCTAGGCACTGATAAAATATTTTTAGAAATTATTTGACCCCCACTATTTCTAAATTTGAAAGGAAATTTATTTTCATGAAAAATACCATCACCTGATTGAAAAATAATGTTATTTTTCATATCAAAAAATCTATAAGTTGTACTATGCAATGCATACCCAAGAAAAGCACAAGTGGTAGTTCGTTCATCGAATTTAGGGCGTTTAAAATTTGCAAGCTTCACAAAAGCTAAACAACTCAAAACCCTCAAATAACCTAGATTTGGTTTATACCCCCGCCACAACTCATAAGGTATAATTTTAGTCTTTTTATGTGGCACTCTATTTATCACATGGCAAGCTTTCAAAATAGCCTCGCCCCAAAGATTTAAGGGAACACCTGAATCGATAAGCATAGCATTCGTCAAGTCAATTAACATTCTATTTTTTCTTTCAGTTACGCCAGTAGATGAAGGTAAATATGGTGGAGTAGTCTCATGAATAATTCCCAATAACTGAATAAAAGAGTTGAATCCAAGAGATTCATACTCCAAGCTTCTATCACTTCGAATTCTCTTAATCTTTTTACCAAATTGATCCACTTCAAGAAGGAATTTTTTAAATTTCTCAAAAATATCACTTTTATTTTTTTAATAAATATACGTTTGTGTATTTTGAAAAATCATCAATAAAAGTGATAAAATATTGGTTACCACCCCGAGTTAAAATTCCTTCAAACTCACACAAATCAGTATGAAATAATTTTAGCAATTCGGTATTTTTTTCAACACTTTTAAAGGCCTCTTGGTAATTTTTCCTTTACTGCAAACTTGACATTTCTCAAATTTTTTTGTCACTTTAGGAATTAATCCTAAACTACTCATGATTCCCACATATTTACTGTTAATATGA